TAAGATCACACTACTCTAGCATTCCCTGGGAGGCTCCGTCTATTGCCTGTCTCTTATACACATCTAGATGTGTATAAGAGACAGGAGAGAGAGAGAGAGAGAGAGAGAGAGAGAGAGAGAGAGAGAGAGAGAGATTTGATTTGCAATATGGTAGGCTGTTATGATGTGGACGTTTTCTTGGCTCTCTCCACTGCATGATATTTGCTTTCCTTGCAGTAAACACGTGTCTCTGGGCACCACGTCTTTCGTTTATTGTGTCGTATTGAATGAATATATCTTTAATCAACGGTGTTGCTATTTATGTCACGCCATTTAACATCTCCCTCGAAAAAGTTTCAAAGTTTGAAATTCAATTTGTATGTTGGACTTCCCTTTACTTCTTTTTTTTTCTGTTTATTTTTTTTTTTCGGGCGTGCGTATCAGACTCCTATGACACGGCTAGTCCCTTCACTGCATAATTTTTTTTTTTCGGGCGGCGACACATGCAGTGTTCGTTTTTTTTTGGGGGTCTGATTGGCGGATTGCCACATACCCACTGTCCGTATGTCGGAAAAGGGGGTGGACGATCTGCGTTTTTGGAACGAGACGGAGGGGCATGGGATGTTGAAGATCATCCAGGAGACGCGCCTATACCTCATCGCCATCGCGAAGGGTGTGAAACCGCCGGAGATCAGAAAAAACGTTGTCCTCCCGAACGCCACGATCCCTCAGCAGAACCTGGAAGACGTGTCGGAGTTGGGGGCCGCGAAGGAGAGGGCTTCGAGGGGGCAGACCATAGCGTTGCGCATCATCCATGGGTGGATCTTCAAGTCCCCCAATCGCGCGCGCAGGTACCACTGCTGCTACGGCTATGTGTTGAACCACGTCGCCACAGACCTCGCCCGCACCATCTGGTTTGGAGAGGACTGGCGGGTATGTGTGAGTCCGGCGGTCGTCCATAACACCTTGGAGCTTCATATGAAGCTCCTCATCTGGTACGTAGGTGGCGTCATACACGACAGGCACGAGGACGACGAAATGGCGTCGTATCAGGAGTCCACAACGCAGCGTCTGGTGGGAGCTTTCACGAATGTTGTTGACACGGGGGAGGGGGTAGACGACGGGCGTATATCGTACGAGAGGCCGAGGAACGTGGCAGACTGCATGCGCCTTTTGCTGTCTGCCGCCATGTGGATCATGCGGATGGTGGGAGATAATCCTCGTTCGCATTATGAGGCGTCCCATCTCGTGGAGCTCATTGCGAAACCGACACATTGCGTCGCTGCATCGCTCGTTCGACGCGCGCCGCCATGTTCTGCAGTGTCAATGCAGTAACGGAGAAAATGGGGAAGCCCCCCATGATGTTGGTCGACCCTCTAGTGTACATCCTCGACTAGGTTTCGTGTGGGGTGTCGTTCCACAACAACGCCACGTTGACGTCTCGTGAGCTCGCCAGACGACTAGATTGGTTAGGTACCGGACCTCCGGAGATCGATGATGAAGACGAGGAGAAGGACGAAGGCGGGGAATCGTGATGGCAGGCGTTGTGGACGATGACAGGAGGTGACCACGCACAGCCACCCGCCGCTGCTGCTGATGACGACGATGATGTCGACGATGATGACGTTGATGATGATGATGATAACGGTGACGATGATGATGACGGTGACGACAGCGATGATGATGAAGACGATGTTCATGATGATGCTGACGATCGTGATGCTGACGATCGTGATGCAGACGATCGTGATGATGACAGTGACGATGATGATGGTGATGATGGTGATGATGAAGATGATGAAGATGATGATGATGATGAAGATGATGATGACGATGTGCAAGATTAAAGATGATGATGATGATGACGATGATGATGACTAAGGTGGTGATGGTGATGACGACGATAGTGGCGACGACGACGATGTCGTCGATGATGATGGGGACAGGAGTTGGCATGGTGTGTGAATAGCGGTTGCGCGAGTTTCGTAGACTGTCTTCTACTTCCTTCGCGTCGAGTTGTTTCCTGTTGTTAAAGCGGTTGTCGAGTACTGGTGAGAGTTTGGTTTCATATAGCTGACAGCAAAGTGTAGTCGACATGCACGTCTTTTCATTGAAGGGGCCACTCATCGTCGAGTGTGCGGTGTCATTAACGTCCATCATGTCTATGCGCATTATTGATGCTAATTTGATATTGTGTGCTATGCCGACCGTTCGTTTTATATCGCATACGTGTTTTCTTATGTTTGTTCTTTCAAATTGCAAAGCTTCCATGTAAAGTTGTGGGTGATAAGGTGAATGAATTTTGTGTGAGAGATGGACGTTTTCACTCAGTGACCTTCTTTGTCGCGCACTCATCGTTCAACCATTCACAACACTTTTACGAAGATGAAGACGAATGATTGGCAACAGAAAATATGCACTCCAACATTTGGACCATAGACATATGTGAACTCAAATGAATGCTATCATCAATGGCTCGAACTCATTCACATCATCACGCACGTTAGTGCGCCCTCATCTCGGCACGCAGGGCACATGAAAGGGAAGAAAATAGTCCACGACAAACAATAAAACTCGGCGAACAGAAAGCAATAATCATCAAACCCTTGTAAACAAATAAAAAGTACATTGTGCGCAACACTGCGCTTCGGAAATCAGCGAAAAGGAACCCGGACGCATGCATGCGTCTGTCACACACCACAGACTTGAATCCCACATCCATGCGGTTCACATACAACAGTAATCGGCCGTCACCACCACATCTGCCGCCCTATGGCTTGCGCATAAACTGCGGATAAAGCACTATCAACGCATCAGTGTGAAAGCACGAATGGAAAGAAAACAAAAAGAAAAAACACTCGTCAACAATCTGAATGTGGAGGACACACTGGAAGGGGAGTACTAGACTACACAAACGTTCTCTGGTCTTCGTCCGACAATGACGACGATGACTTCGATGGCATCACACGATCTATTGTCTCCTTCGTCTCTCCGCACGCTGTTTCCTTCTGCTGCTGCCGTCAAACGCCCTTCCACGTACGCAGCTTACATCTACTTCCGCTCCGCGCCGCCGACATCTCTCATCGCTGCATCATTCGCTCTGCCAGCGCTTCACGCAGCATGACCGCTTCCCCCGTAGAAGTTTGCATGCACAAAGGCCTGGGGGGGTGCTAGATCCCAAGATCCACTCGACGGCGAACTCTATTGGCGTCCACCTCCCACAGCAAGTTCTCATCGAAAGGGATCCCGGCGTCGATAAGGATGTTGTGCAAGATGCATACGGCCACGATCTGCTGCGGCAAGGTCTCCATGTTTGTCTTGTGCGACCCAAGGAACAACCGTCACATTCCCTTCAGTCTCCCAAAGGCCCTCTCCACCGCCCCCCTCGCCGTCTTCTGTTTGTTGTCGAAACGGGCCTCGAACGGAGTCTGCGCCGTGCCGCCATAGGGGACAACCATCCATTCGCTCGGCGGGTAACCATTGTCGGCCAGCAGATAACCATTGGTCTGCACTTGGAACGGCAGAACACAGGAGGCCCTGTGAACAACTCGCCCGCCGTCGCACGCGACCAAAGACTGGACAGATGGATGACCCTGACGTCGTGGCAGCTCCCCGGATAACCCACGAACACATCGAGGACGCGCAAGTCCAAATCCACCACAACTTGAGCGACGACAGAGAATCGTCTCTTGCGGTCGTAGTAGTCTTCTGGAGCCGCGTTCGTCGGCTTGTCGATGTAGATATGAGTACAATCGATGCACCCATGACAGTTCGGGAAACCCTTGTCCGCAAAAGCACGCTGAACAACCGCCATCCGCACCCCAGTCGGCCACGCCACCTTCTCCCTGTACACCGAAAGCAGCGCAGCTGTGACGTCCCGGACGGCCACCAAACCCGAAGCCCTGCCAATTCCAAAGCTGCAGGTGCTGCTCTCGTATGTCTCGCTAGACGCCCATCTGTAAAGCGCGTAGGCGACAATGTGGTCTGGCTGAAAAGGCTCTCTGTAGAACGTCACACGTCGCTCGAGAATCAGCGTCAAGTTCTCAACGATCTCACGGAAGACACGTGGAGACATCCGTAATTTGTCGCGGAAGTAGTCTTCAGTGGCGTCGTCTGCAGGCCAAAGATCCTCCCAGGTCCCCCCCGTCCTTCGTTTCACCCACCACCTCGGGGTCGCCCTCGGCAGTTCCCCACACCCCAGGGCGCAGCATACCTCAAAGACGGCATCACAGATGCCGACGCTATCCAACCCTTCACACGTCGGCGGCCGCATCGCCTTCCTTCTCCGAGCGCGTAGCCGTGCCCACCGTCGTTCGCCTTCGACCTCCGTCTCACAACGCATGATGACGGCGGCGACGGCGGACGTCACTACAGCCCTCTCCAAAGCGGACAACCTTGGCCCGCCCTCATCCCCGCCACCGACCGAAAGCATATCGACCACGGAAGACATCGCACTCATCCACGCCGCCAGAAGTCGCCCAAACGACCACACAAGGCCGCCACCAATGGAAGAAGTTCGCGGAGATGGCGTTCAGGGCAGAATGCGCGAAAGTGAACACGCAAGACGGCGGTGGCGCTCACTGCTGCTGTCGTAGCTAGGGTGCGTCACGTCTTCTAATACGTGGCGACGTCTGTGCTAACGCCCAAACGGCCATTGGCCGTTTCCGCATGACGCCCACTGCAACACCCCTGTGCTTCCCCGATGGGCCCCGATGGGGCCGTCACACGCACGCATCTCCCCGCCCCGCCGCACCAGACGCCACGCTTGGCCGGTTCAAATTTCGAATTTTGAAATCACACGTGTGCGCGTGCAATTTTCCTTTTCCCACGGCGGCTGCAGTCCCTTTTCAAATTCGCCGCCCATACGCAGTGGACCAAGTCCAGCCAGACGGACACCACACGAAGGACCACCGCCCAAACACTCGTCCCGCGGCCGCATATAACATTATACGACTCCCCGCGGCCAGTCCTCGGAGCATCCTCGGGGATCGTCCCGAGGGACGAGTGGAACGAATGCGGGAAAATCCTCAGGCTGCCTCGAGGATATCCCCTCGGAGCCCGAGGACGCCCCAAGGAGTGTCTAATGAGCCCCTAATTCTTTAAGCCCCTGGAGCATGGTCCCATTATTAAAGAGCATCGGATTGAATGGCTGAATCTGGACGTGTTTGAGGACAGAGAAGGAAATAGAGATAGAACTGCTTTTCTGTATTTTCTGTATCTCTGCATAAAACATAGCCAGACTCGGGATTTCTATCCTATCCCCGTCGCTAGTGGGACCGTCGCCCTGGTGCGACTATTTCCTTCGTGCCTTTCATCCTTTTTCAGTTCTTGTTTTGTGGCGTTCGCCTATAGGCGGACGCCTTCCAGAAATTCTCAGCGGCCGTTGGGCCCCTGAGGGGGTTTGGAATATAGTTTTCAACCAGCAATAGACGCGTCTCGGTTAGCCCTCACGGACTGCATCATTGCCCCAAGCGCAAAGATGAAAGACTACGGACCTGGATTTGCATTTTGTACTCTAGATTCGAGTGACACCTCCAATAACCCATGGGGCAAATGGAAAGAATGGTTATGGGAGGGCCATCGATACATCGGATTCCGTGAAAATGGTAACCAAGGCGAAGTTTTCCCAAGTCGCGGAGTGCCTGGGAGTAGGGCAGCATCCTTTTTTCTTTTCTTTTTTTTCTTCTGGTAGATAGAAATAGTCACGGAGTGCGGCGGAATATCTGGATTCGAACACAGAGCTGTATTTCAGCAGTTCAGTGAGTGTGCCAACTGAGCAAGGCCCGCGGGTGAGTGCCTGGGAGGAGGGTGTCGCCTGCATAATAGAACGGTGGGAAAAAGAAAAACACTTGGGAAATGTGAAGAAGACGACAGCTATGGCGGATGTATTTGCCGTAGATGTAGTGGTATTATTCATTTGGCCATTTCGTACATATGGTTAGTAGGCCGGCCCTAAGGAAGCAATCTTCTTCCTTCTTTCACCCTCCCGACGACCGACCGGCAAACGACTAGCTCTGGGTGTTCTCCAATCCGCGCGAAGAATTAGCAGCCATGGGTAAAGGTACGGGAAGCTTCGGCAGGCGCCGCAACAAGACGCACACGCTCTGCCGGCGATGTGGGCGGCGAAGTTTTCACATCCAGAAGTCGAAGTGCTCGGCATGTGGATATCCTGCAGCACGGATTCGCAAATTTAACTGGAGTCAGAAGGACATTCGCAGGAAGACCACCGGGACAGGGAGGATGCGCCACCTTCGGACCATGCCCCGAAGGTTCAAGAACGGCTTTAGGGAAGGCACCCAGGCCGCTCCAAAGAAGAAGGTCGCCGCAGCAGCCGCTCATTCAGTGCGTTGAGGGAGTTTTGGCCGAAGTGCAGTGATGATGTAAAGGGGGAGAGGGAGAGGGAGAGGGAGAGGTCTGGGAGTAGAGCGAGATGTGCAGAGATTTGCAGAGATGCGCAGACGTCTTCGTCATAGAATGAGAGCCTAACTCCTCGTCGTCGATTCCATTTTTTCCGCTCTCTGAGGTATAAAATATGGGTGAGTTTGTTCCCGTTATCAGGAGTAGGTTGAGGGTTCAAATTCGTTTGTCCGCTCTCGACGTGACACGTTTGCAAGCGAACTGAGATCGGTGTCGTCACCGAATCTTTCCGTCGGCTGTGACTCGAGTGGAGAGTGAGTGGGGGTGGGGGTGGAAGGAAGGAGATTGTTCGTGCTCGCTCGCTTTGAAGAGGCGACGCGGTGGACTTATCAACCTGTGATGGGGACGTAAGAGTGGAGGAGGGAGGGGTGGTTGGTTTTTGACGACGATCTTGTGGATGGAACTCGTGAGATGGGCTCTGATTGATCCAAATGACAGCCGTCGAAGATGCTGTGAGTTTTCAGTAATTCAATTCCATTAGTCGTGTGCGACATCGAAATCTTTGCATTTTGCGCGAAGAGAAATTTTCTTCTTTGTAAAAAAAAAAAAGAAAAAAAGCTCCCGCTCTCGCACCCGTCCCCCGTGTCCGTTTTCGGAAGCGCGCGGTGAAGGCGGGGGCAAGGTCCGACTTGCGCAAATCAGGAGATTCTGCCCGTTGATCTTTGCTATCTACGGTCAGTATCTCTTAATTCGTGCAAGTGGGACCTAGCCCCGGATGCGAAGGCGCGGTGGACGGTGGAATAATGGCGCGAAGAGGAGAGAGCGCAAAGATTCACTCTCCCCGCGTTCTAGCAGATCTGTCCCCGCCCTGTAGGCGGGCTGAGTGGCTGTACCGGCTTTGGTAGCTGAGCGAGTTTTTGCACCGGCGGGACAGTAGTTGCGGCAACCGGGGCACAACAGGACAGAACAGGACAGCACAGCGGAGACACCCAGGCAGAGGTAGACATGGAGATATCCCTCGAGCTGCGGAGGGACACGGCGTGATGAACTGCCCCAGGCAAGTCACAGTAGCATGCTGATATTCGTTCGACCATCGGTGCTGTGTAGAGGAGGAGCACGATTGGTAGACGGGCATGCTCGTGCCCATGCTTTCCTCGATGTCATTCTGATGTCCGATCACGGCNGGGGGGGGGGGGGGGGGGGGGTGATAGATGATTTGTTGCTGTGTAAGGAAAAGTTCCGTATTTCTTTTTTTTTTCTTTTTTTTCCCCTTCCAAACAGATGGTAAGTGATGGACTTGAGGTCCTAGTTGCAAGGCTCGTCGAACATTTTGAATGCATGTGGACATGCGCACTGTCCTGATCCATTCAAAATCGTGCAGGTTGGCCAGTGGTGTAAACAAATGAGGTTGAGGTCCTAGTTGCACCACCCGCCATCGGGGAACATTTTGAACGCATGTGGACATAGACGCCGTCCTGATACATTCCATTCAACATCATGTTGGATGGAGAGTGGTGCAACTACGCCATGAAACTGCAGGAGCTCCATATTCCATAATATTGACTCTGCTCCAGCTTCCACCAACGGAAACGGGCAAGAAATTCAGCAAAAGGCACAAAATTCACTTGGACATCAAAGACATGTCCAGTCCTCTACCACACTACGACATACTGCAAGCATCATTCAATCCAAACACCTGAGCATGTACTCAACGTATTGATATAGACATGAAGACTTCCCACAAGACCAAGAAGAAGAATAAGAAGAAGAAGAAGAAGAAGAAGAAGCTTATTTTATTTATGTATGGGCTCCGCGGGCGTCCGGGGTGAGGTTAATGTCTTATTGGCCGCCTGACCTGACGGTTGGTTGCCTTTAATAATAATAATAATAATAATAATAATAATAATAATAATAATAAGAAGAAGAAGAAGAAGAGATCTCGTCGCGCGTGGCAAAACCTTGCACGAACCGAGAAAGAAACGTCAACTGCAAGTCGCAAGTCGCAGGGAAAGGGTGAGACTTCGTGCTACTCAATTGGAAGAGATATGGCAGCTCATTCTGTCTGACTTAGGGGCCCGACCACTGGCGTCGCATGGACTTTCTTTCTTCTTTTTTTTGTTTAATGTTAAAAGCTATATTCTTCTCTCAATTACACCTCACACTACCTACCTACCACTACTCCTAATTCGTGCTTTCTTTCTTTCTTTTTTTCTTTTTTTTCTTTTCAGTTCGTGCATTTTTTTGCACTGAGTCGTACCTATACAAGTGTTTCATAGGTACTTATTAGGCAAGTCGTTGGGATTCACATGGGCAAGAGTACTGCCGGGATTCACATGGGCAAGAGTACTGCCGGGATTCACATAGGCAAGAGTACTGCCGTCTTCACCCGAATAGAACGCCCGGTCATTATAGCTGTATCTGGACTGAAAATTGCAACAGATTCGGCTGTTCTATTAGGGTGAAGACCATAGCCATATCCTAGCCTGTATCATGAGTGCGCATGCTGAGTTCTGCTTCTTGCAGAGCTTGGGTCCGCAGCACAGAATGGTGTTCGGGGGCCGGTCCCACCTGCGCATTTTCGTTGTAGGAGGCTACCACCAAGAGAATGGAGGGCGCCTAACGTCCATGGATTGACACGATAGATGGTCCTTAGATGGCCCATCATGGCGGCCAGTAGCTTTGTGGTAGCCTCCTACAACGAAAATGTGCAGGTGGGACACAGCCCCGGCACTCATGAAGAGCCTGGTGCTGCATGGATCTCACCTCAGCGCATCAGACCAGGTGGAGATTCCGAATCTGAACCAGTTCTACTGTTGCTATGCATGGCAAGCAACTTGTCTCTCTATCGAACTGAACGAAGATGGTACGGGTACGTGGGACTTGCTGGGGATTGCCAGATGAGGGCGGCCTCCGGTGTACCTTTATTGAGTTGTGGGCAAATGCCAGGTAAGAAGTTGAGCGTTTGGAATAACCTGCGTTGGGAGATCCAGACAGGGCAATCCTGCTGGACTTGGGGGAAGTAAGCAGACGAAAAGTGCAGACCTAGGGCCTCGCCACACCACTCTTGAAACGGGGAAATATGTCAAGAGCTGTCAGACGTTCTCAGGAGTTGGGTTTTCAAGAGTTTTCGGCCCCTCCCCACACAGCACTCTCAAAAGGGCGATGCCGTTGGACAGAGGATGAAAAACGACAGTCATACAGCTTTGTTTTTTCCGAATGGCGTCAGGATAACGGCCTGACAACTCTTGAAAACTGGTAGTCCCTCAAGGGTTGGGCCAAGGGTGCTTGAAAACACACAAGTTGCAGGCAGGCTGGGTTCTCCACTACGGTAGTACACGCTTTATTTAGCCATAAGCAATTTTGCACGGCCATCTGAATGGCACAAGCTGCTAGAGACGGAACAAGAGCAGGTCACAGCAGACAAGCGAAGCCACAGGCAAGCAATTGGTTAAAAAGAAGTGCACATATTTCCAAAAACAAAGGCAGGGATTTGTCTGCGGAAAAAAAGAGGAGAACGAGCAAACATGGGGCTGTGACAGACTGTTTCGGAGGATATATCATAGTATATATAGATATGTCCTCTTCTCCCTCTCTGCCTACAGTTTACCGGGCAGCTCTGTTTGACTATATACGAGGAGAACGAGCAAAGGAGGGGCTGTGACAAACTGTTGAACCCTCAATAGTCTGCATAATCCCCTAGCAGATTACACTGGAAGTGATAATCCACCTTAACCCCGGCTGTGGTTAAGCACCAACAACTGCCCGACAAGTGATACCCCTCTGAGGTGGTGGGGACCACAAACCACTGCCCTCAAGGTACCTGTGACGAAAATCAAAGCAGACTATCACTCACCCACAGCAGATAGAAAACTCTACAGACTGTCGGTTCATACCCCATCACAAGCCAGTAAAACACCCACAAAACAGAGAAAGGTCTGTCGCAGCCAGAAAACACACTCCCTACACACCGCTGGCACTAGCGGCACAGCATGGCCGCGTAGTGACTACGGCCATATATATGATATATAAACATATATATATGTATATTGTCAAGAGCTGCCCAGTAAACCGTAGGCAGAAAGGGAGAAGAGGACAAGAAACCAGGGGCTGTGACAAACTGTTTCGTCGGAGTCTCACCAACTCATTGGGAGGCTGAACCCTCAACAGTCTGCATAATTCCCTAACTGATTACACTGTAAGTGACAATCCACCTTAACCCCTGTTGCGGTTAAGCACCAACGACTGCCCGACAACTGATACCTTGAGGTGGGTACCAACTACTGCCCTCAACTCAAGGTACAGGGGACGAAAACCAAACCAGACTATCGCTTACCTATATACGGGGACCAGTACGTGCTAATAAAACGAGCGCAGTCATGATTTTTTCCCCGGAGAGTTCTACATTACAGCTTATTACAGGTTTCTAGATTACAGGTTTTTTTTTCCCCGGCGATTCTCCCAGGCACGTCCCTTGGCTGTGGTTTCACACGATAACCAGGGGCGAGGTCCCACTAGCAAAGAGGATTGGATTCAATGCCTGAACCTGGTCGTGAGCGTTGGAAAGGTAAAGAAAATCGAGATTGAACTCCTTTTCTGCATGAGACCTCGCCCCGGTTCCGGTGCTAAGGACCAGGGGGAAGTGGCACCACGTTTTTATTTCTCACCATCACATAAATAATATTTCATTATTATGGGTTCGAAAACAGAAACTGACTCCCGCATAAAGAATACTTCATTATAATTATGGCAGCTGGGAAAACAGAAAAACGACTGCCAGTGGCCCGACAGATCGAATCTATCCTCGCTTTTTTTTCTTCTTTTCTACAGTTTTTTTTTTCCGTTCTTCACTATTTCATTGGAAAAACACACACAAAAAAAAAAACAAAATGACTTACCGTCAACGTCAAGACAACCCCTCTCTCGTCAGTATAGATACATGCACTGGAGACTTCCGCTTCTGACCTTTTCTGCAGGCACAGTAGTAATGAAGTACAAACTTACGGACATTGTTTTTGGCAAACTGGTACTCAGATGGTTTCTTTTCTCAATAGCTTTTTTTTTTTTTTTTTTTTTTTTTTTTAACTCAAGAGTAGTTTTAGGTATGTATAGGTTAATTTAGCATGTAATTTTGTATGTAATTTAGTAGGTAACCTTGTTGGTCTTTTTGTTAGTCAATTCTATAGGACATTTGTAGGTTTTCCTTCAGGTTCTTCAGGCTTTATATTTTCACAATTCTTTAAATTTGTTTTATTCCTGTCTGTATACA